TTAAAGACCTTTGGGGAGTCTCAGGGGCTGGCAGGCCAGATTCAGCCCACAGATTATAAATTGAGCACAATTGCCCTAGTTACTATAATCTTTTGTTTTAAAATTGTATAGCAGGCTTTTAATGGATACTTGAAATGACCCACCTTTGCTAACCAAATAGAATCAAAAGACAAAAGTTTATTGAAATATGCAGCTGTTTCAGGAATTAGTGTTTAAAAAAAAAAAGAATCAAAGGTGACATGCTTTTGCTTAAGCTTCTGTTCAACCAGTTGGCTTAACTCAAGTTTCATGAACGGAATGCAAACAGACTCTTTCCTCTTAATTTGTTATTTAAATGTAACTGGTTCTTGCCTGTATTTCAGAAACAAGTTCAAGCTAATGTGTGCATTGGTACGGAAATGGTGAAAGATGCAGTGGACCAGCTCCGAGGAGCAGTGATGATTGTTTATCCAATGGGGTTGCCTCCATATGATCCAGTTAGAATGGAGTTTGAAGATAAAGAAGATTTATCTGGAACTCATGTATGCAGCATCATATTTTGACTACTTTATGAGCATCTGGCTTAAGTTTATGCTTTTCTAGGCAAGGAAGAAGAAATTCTTCATTTTTACTTATTTGAAGTCTTGCCTGTTTACTGATAGTATTTTGTTGTTTTTTAAATATTTTGTCTTTACAATTTTTTTTAATGTACAGGCAACTCAGTTATTTAAATGGGTGATCCTATAATCAGTTAAGTTGCCTAACTTAAATTTTTTAAGTTTGTGCTGTTTTATTTGTTTGTCCATCTTTAATAGTTTCTGTCTTTTGTGAGGGGAAAAGGAGCAGGGCACAAATCAGTCTGGATAGGCCCTGCATAAATTCTCTTTTCTTTAACATCTATTCTGTGAGGGTGAAGTACAAGACACTGGGCTGGATGGACCTATGGTCTGATCCAGTATGGCATTTCTTATGTTCTTTAGATCATCTGTGTGATTAATAAAATATTTTGAGTTAGCAAGCTGAACTGAGAATTGAGCATAGTGCTATTTGAAGGAAACAAGACACTACATTACTATTAGTGAGACAAAACAAAAAGGCCAGTTAAAGTAATTCCCTTAATTTTATACTGATTTAAAAGTGTTAAAACCATAACTGTCTCAGAATGATGTTCCAATCAGATGATTATGGAGTACTGATACAAGATTTTCTGTATACACAAAAATTAAAAGTTTCCTTTTTTTTTTTCCTTGCATATTAAAATTATCACAGGCTGGACTTGAAGTTATCGCAGAAACAGAAGCACAATTGTGGTGGGCAGCAAAAGAATTAAAAAGAACAAACAAACTTTCAGATTATGTAGGAAAAAATGAGAAAACCAAAATCATTGTCAAGATACAGAAAGTAAGTACCATTAAAGTGCTTAAAGAGTACTGTAAGGCTCTATGTATGATTCAGCATCAGTCATCAACTTTTTTAATGATGAGAATTTGCAGTAATTTGGAATATGTATCAGGTTAATTTTTAACTGAGGTCTGTGAATTATATGAACCAACAGTGATTTAAAAGTTCCAACCAGTATAAGTATTTCGCTTTGTGAATTCCTCTATTCCTCGGTGAAATATTTCCCTTATTTACTCCAAAATATATTTTTGCTAAGTACAACAAAAATGGCAGGCACCAAAGCCTTAGCTGGCTGGACAATTCAATATAGCTTTCTAATTTTAAGCAAATTGCTCTGAAGTTTTCTTCATTGAGTAATCATTCAGCTCTGACTTCCAGTGCATGTGCATGAAATTGATTTATTTTGGACACCACTGGCCATGCCTGCACCCTGCATGCTCTAATGCTAGTGCCCCAGGGCATAAAGGATGGAGCAGACTTAACTAGCCCTCAGTTCTTTTGCACTACCTGTAATGATAAGGCCAGATCACTATATTGTCCATCTATCTGTGTGCTATATGACTTTCCTGTTTATGTTAGTACATGGATTTAGTGTTATACTTGTTTTTCTCAAAATAGTGGTAGGGTCTTCCCTGGTGCTGTGATTATGTAGGCACTACGGATAGAACAGTCCTCAAAATGCCAACGCGCACATGGACTTGCAATGTCTTCTCTTCAGCAATCTGTCCTCATGGTTCCTTTTTTTCTTTTGCCTTGGAGTTGGGCACATCCCTGATAGACAATTAATTTTGTTCTTCCTCCTTCAAGAAGACATAGAAGGTTAAAGAGGCTTAGCTTTAAACTCTCCCAGAGCATTTAATAAATGCTTTCTCCAAGAAATAAAAAAGGCCTGAACAAACTTCTTCAGCTACTGCTTTTGTGAGTTGCATTTCAACCCTGAGGTCCCTGGTTAACTATTCAAAGAAATCAAATTTTTCAGTTACTGAGACTGACAAAGTAGCTAAGTCTTCCTGTGCTTAGTCATATGAAAGAGGTAGGAGGGAATATTTTTTTTTCCCCACAGTGTACACAGATCTTTGTCTTCAGGGACTAATAAAATAAAATCAAGGTTTTCCTTGGAGCATTCAGACAAAAGGTTGCCTGTGGCCTTTTAACATCTTGCAAAATCCAGTGGTTTTCTGAACACGGTGCTGTCTGAGCCTTGCTCAAGAAGTGCTAAACCCGGTGTACATGTTCCTGATGGTTTCACTGTTCGTATCTTGAACACCAACCCCTACTGAGTTCTAAGCACCAATGTTCATGGCTCTCTTCTGCACCACATTATCTTGCAATCACTGTACAACCTTCCTCACCATTTGCTGTCTCTAGCTCTTTTGGAGAAGGAGAACAAAATTGCCAAAAGGAATCCAAACAAGGTGGTCTGACCATATGAGGAGTGTTCATTTTCCTAAAAATGAAGACCTGTCAAAGTTAAGCTTCTTTGGCAAACAGATTATTCAGTGTCACATTTTCAAGTTCATGTCTCAACACCAGTCAAAATATAATTACCTTAATTGGGACAAGGTATTATAGTTTATGAAAGAACTGAGCTCTCCTTTGGATCTGTAGGACAGCTGGTAATTTGAACTCTGTTGTAAGTTGCTCTAGGTACTTCAGATATGACTGCATTCTTTTTCACCACTGCTGCACTATGCTCTTGGTTTCATAGTTCCAATCTTGAGGTGTACAAAACAAGATCTAGATGACAGTAGAGTTTGAATATTACAATCTGCTCATTCTGAGTACACAGGAAACCCTGCATCTGTCAGCGATCCGAGAGGTATGCTTTCCTTGTTTAGGGGTATATGGACTCTCCTAAGAGACGGTAAGTTAAATCTGAGGCTCACAAGAGAGAACCCCTCTATTTGTAATTCACTGATGACGCTGGAGCCACTGAAGAGGAATCAAAGATTTCTGTACAAAATTCTCTCTGCCTTTGTCTGTCACAAACTTTACATCTATCCCATGACAGCAGTTAGATGTCATTTCCAGCAGCTGTTCAGAACCTCTCAAAGCTAATTACTGTGTTCCATTTCTTTGGTAAACATGTTTTTATTTTAGGACTGGAATCAAATAATCTTAGATAATTTATTTTAGAAATGATGAATTTAAGTATTCTGTTCAACCGTAGTCACTCCCTGCCTTCTTCAGGGACCCCTCTCACAAAATACTGTACCAACAAAATAGTGAATTCTCTCTTAAATCTTGGAGCAGTGGAAGCAGTGTCCCTGGAAGTCTAAGAGAAGGAGTTTTCCTCAGATCTTTTAATCCCCATAAAAGAAAAAGGCCTGACACCCAGTTCTCTATTGATCTAACCTGAGAGGAGTGTTAGGACGCATGAGATACAGGTGTCACCCCCACCAGCCACTAATGGCTAAACGAGTATGTTCTCATGTCTGCCTCAGAGGCACCAGAAATCCATTGAGACCACACATTTTGAGCAACCACAGTTATTGTGCAGTAAGGAAAAGGAGAATTATATTCATGAGAATGTTGTATATAAACGCTGGACACATTTGTGGGGCGCATGACTTAAATTTTACAAGCCTGATAATTCTAGGCCAAGATTTTCAAATCTTAAGTGCCTTAATTGCACCAAAATCCAGACTTGAGCATGAGAAGGCTGACTCCCTGAGGAAATGTTGCTTCTGTCTTTTTGTTTAGCAGTTTCTTGTGCAACTTGTTTAATAGGAAAATAGCATTATAAATAACATTTACCACCTGCTTTCAGAAAGGACAAGGAGCCCCAGCTCGTGAGCCACTGATTAGTAATGAAGAGCAAAAACAGATGATGCTGTATTATCATAAAAAACAGGAGGAACTCAAGGTAACATGATTTTACTTTATGTTAAGTGACATGCAAATAGAAATAAATAGAAGTGGTGGTTTTTGCAGTATTTTCTTTAAAGCTTTTTTTGTTACTTCTTTTGCAAAAATTTTATTTGCAGAAATTAGAGGAAGATGACGACGACTCGTTTTTAAATGCTGAATGGGCAGACAGTCATGCTTTGAAAAGACATTTTCACGGAGTTAAAGACATTAAGTGGGGACCAAGATGAAGCTCTCCAAACATCCTTTGCTGCTTCAAAAATAAAAATTGACTTACATTAATAACCCCCTGTGTATTAGAATTTCTCCGACAAGCTGATGTTTCCAGCCTTTTTATTGGGTATCATATTTCTATTAAAAACTCTAGCAGCTATGGGGTAGCTGAATACAACCCATTGTGTTAATGTTCATAATTCTGCTTTAATAGAAGTATGTAGTTAATTATTTAAATGCTGTAGTTTTAAAATATTTGAACTGTTTTCATAGTAACATTCATATCTAATAAATATGAATTAGATGCCTGTGCTGGTAGTCTTCATATTTTCTTCTTTTTGTATCTGTTTCAAACAGTACAATTTATCAGAGTTAGTGTGGCTGTAGAAAGTCAGCGTTCATAGGCTGCACCTTGAATCTAATACAAAATCAGTGGGTTTGGTTGCTGCTTTGCATATTAACAAGGTTAATATTGAGCCAGTAATTTTAGATTAATTGGTTTTTAGGCAATATTTTTATGTGTTTCACTTTTACTCTACATGCCTGTTTTTAATTTGGAATTACAAGCCAAGGTACTAAGTCCAGTTAATTTTATCATTTGTTAGAATTATGAGATTTTTTATGTATCAGCTGACAGAAGTCCAATTTAAAAGGTAAACATTACTACTAAGTGAGAATGAGATAATGAAAATAGCTCTTTGTGGAGGTAGGGGTTTTGAAATATAATGTATTTGTAAGACTGGAAGCCAGATAACAATTCCTTGTTCAAAATTTTATAACTTTTTTTTCTTTCAATGTTATTGTGTTAAAACTAGCCAATTGCCCATCAAGAATGACTGGGATGGAGCCCCGGGCCCCACCCCATCTGGGCCCACTCCCCCCTTCCCTCTTGCTGCTTGGGGTCTGGGCCTGTTTCCCCACGCCCTGTCGCAGCAGCGGGGGGAGGGGAGGAGCGGGCCCAGGCCCAATGCGGAGGAGGACCAGGCCCAAGGGTGGGGAAAAGCTGGGCCACTGTGGGGAGCAGTGTGCCTGGGCTGAAACTGGTGGCGGCGGAGAGATGGGAGAAGCACAGGAGTTGCCAACATGGGGGAGATAGGGGAGGAGTGGAACTGGGCCCGACGCAGAGGAGAAAAGGG